CCTTAATATCATTTTTTTTTCTTTTTTTTTTTTAATTTTGATGATTAAATCATATATTTTGATTCACTGCTTATTTACTTCGAGACTCTAAATTCTATTTAATCAGTTAATAGATTTAATTCAAATTAATTTAATTTCTAGAGCTAAATTTATATTTTTAAATTTTTTCCAATGCAATTCCACACTTTTTTAATAAACTTTAATTGAAAATCTTTATAAGACACGCAAAGAAAATTATTTTTTGGGATAATTGCCTATAAGACTGTCGAACGTAGTTTAACATAGGTACAAGTGTAAAATAAGTAGGTACATAAAGAAACATGCCTTTTTTCTTTCTTTTTTTTTAAAAAAATTACATATTATTGAACCATAATTATTAATAAAAAAAGCCCGCATACGACAACATAAGATATCTCCTGTATATTAATTCAGAGATCACTAAATATAATAATTATACTATAATTGACACCAATAACAATAAAAATACATGCAAAATGAGTCGCATGAAATTAATTAATTTTTAAAAATGTTATTTATTGTATCATACATGTGAAGCAACTGATTTTTGAGATAAATAAATAAAAATAGATTTTTTTGGATATTGTAAATACATTTTTGATATTGTCGGTGTTTTACTGTCCTGTAATATTATTTCACTTTATCAAAGTCTACTATTATATTCATATTAAGTTTTATCTTACAGCTATATATATATATATAGCTGTAAGATCATGTATATATATATACATGATGAAGAGTTTGACTAAAGTTTCGATTTAACTTGTTTTATTAAAATCGATATATTATGCCTAATATTTAAAGATACTTTAGCATAATTATATGAGTGTGATAAAATAAACGACTAAGACAAATAATTTAATTATTAAGAGCTCTTTTTATCTAGTAACTAATATTAACTTATTGTTTTAAATAAATCACAATCTTATATGATTCTTGTTATAAATTAAACCTAGCTATGGAAATAATAAAATTGCCTTGTTTTATAACCATATAAATTTCATACAAAATGAATGTATAAATTATTATATTAAATAAAATATTTATAAATTCAATACAAATATTTTTATATTTCACGGTTGTAATGATAATATTATAAGCATACATAGTATAATATATTAAAGTATATGTGAAGTAGTCGTATGATTGTTATCAGTGATAAATTTTATAATTTTGCTAAACTTATTTGTTAGAACTACTCACATAATTTTTACCACGCTTGTACTAAACATTATATTCATAAAAATTATACTGTACCTATGTAGTTTTTGAAATTACCCATAACTCCAAGAAAGTATATCGGATAACTGTATATTGATCTTGCAATACATAAAAAAATAATTTATGCAATATCTATATTATGATGTCTATGTAATGTAATTTAATTTATGCCACGTCTCGTTTCGTTTCTTAGATATTCTATTTAAATTGGTTTAAATTTAAAACAACTTAGTATTGCTCACTATATATAATAAATATTATAATATTGAGCTTTTATAAATATTATGTTTCACGTATAATGAATGCAAAACAACTTATCAAAAATGATCAGTATATGAGTAGGCGATTTCTATTCGTATTAATTAACTGAAAAAATGTAAGCTTGTAAATGTATATACTAATGTCTATATTAAATTGGCCTTCCAAATATTTGTAATTAAATATTCAGTAATAAAATATATATAATATTATATTAAAAATATACTATCTGTGTCACTATGACCAACGGGAATAACCAATATTGTGTAATTTAATTGCTTTCTAAGGCGAACCATTTCATATGATTATGTAACGAGTTTAAGTGTGTTTATTATATTGTTTGTTATCATTAGGGTTCGGATTTAAAAACAATATTATAATTAATAAAAAGAGCATTTAAAATGTCAAAAAAGCAAAAAAATGTATTTAATTTTAAGAAAAGCAATTAAAAAATGTATTAAAAATTAAATAGTTTGTATATGGTATATTTTAACTAGTTAATATTAAAAATAAAATCATGGATCAATGAAAAATTTTACGTATCTGCACATTATGAACATATTTTAATCTATAGACATGTAGTATGGGTTAAATTAACTGGAAATACCAAATACTCGATAAAGTATTTAACGATATCGATAAATATCACAGATAATAAAACCCAAAACCCATTAAAAATAATCGACTAACGACAATGCAGAGTCTTCAGAAGATCTTATCGATTTGTAGCGTTAAGAGGCATGGTGTGTATAAAACCATCAAATCCATTGAAAACTAAACACAAAAAAGTCATTTATAAATCAATATGCATTTATAAGTGAAAAAGGCAACAAAAAAAAATAAATACACCCATCGTCTTAAATATTAAATGACACACATTTTTATACAAAAATTATTTTTATTATTATTATTATTATTATTAAAAACAAAAAAAAAGTTTTTGCCTTCAAATCCGAAGATTGGTTATCATTTTAATTGATAATATATAGATATTTAGAATACATATAAGAAAAAATGCAATTGGATTATATTAAAATGATTTTGAATGACATATGATCATAATCTCAAATCTCAAGAACTATATTTGACTAAATTGATATATTTTTGAATTTTCTACATGTGTAATATTTGAGAGAATGTTTTTAAATGCCTATACTTTAAATTTTTAATTGTTTTACAAAAGAACAAAATATTTACTTGTAAAATATATTGAGTTTTTTAATTTGTTTAAAAGCCAATTAGATAAACAAACATAGATATCAATCCTATATGTTCTTATATTATACTTAATAAGAGTTAATTATAATTTTACCGATATAATTCTTTTTCTCTTTAACCAAATAGATAAAAAATACGGTTAAATAGTATCATAATCATTATTCACATTTCTATAAATCTGTTTATATTTCACATAAATCAAAATATTTTCTATTAATATATTACACATTTAACTTAATAATATACGTATATTATAACAGTGGAGGGTTACAATACTGTGTAAGTGTTTACAGTTTCTAAGTCGGCGGAGTTAAGTAGTAATACGTTTCTCAGGATATTCTTATCAATTTATTCTTCGTATTAAACTTTAAAATATGCTTATAATAAACAATTAACTTTTTAGTCAATATACAATATTTATATAACAATATTTCTAAAAAAATAATATGTTTTTCTTCCGAATAAAAATAAAAATTAAAATAACATTAAATGTATTTATGAAATGGCATAATATAATAAATTGACTTTACTTTATAAAAATTGTTAAAATTACTTAAACCTATTTATATAGGTTACAACATTTGAGTAAATAACAATTCAGTGTGAAGAATATCAAACTTAAACTAAAAATGTTATAATATAAAGAATTTCTGCACAATTAAACATTTTTGTCGGCACAGAAAGAGCAATTATTGCTATTATACTAGATCAACGATTCTCAACCTAAGGTACGCGTATCCCAAGGGGTACGCGACATGATCTCAAGGGGTACATGAAAAAAAATTGGCTAATGGCGGAAAATGTTGAATATGTTTGTTTGAGCCATGTAAAACTATTTTAAATTTTAAATTCACATACACACTTTTTATAAATAATTAAATTTTAAATTTAAATTCATTGAATTTGTGAACCTTTCAAAATTATTTTTTAGATACAAATTTGTTAAGCATTCAATTTTTATAACTAAGGATTAACATTTTAATGAAGAGTTTCACACAAATAGTTCAGATTGTAATCAAAACATATTAAGCACATTTTGTACTATGAATTTTATTTAAGTTCAAATTTAGACAAAGTTATATATTTAAACGAAGCATAACGATTTTATTGATTAAATTAAAATGTAAGCATATTATTCGTATTTTTTTGATACTATTTATGTTTAATATTATATTTTATAATTTATACTCGTGGTCATATTCTCAAATACAATGGTATTGGTAAAAATTAATTTAACTTACCATTATTCAAATAGTAAAATATATGGCTTTAATACAATACATAAATATACCATAAAATATTATTAATTATATAATATATTGATGGACCGTTTTCGTTCAGAACCGTCTTTCGTATGCATTGATGTATCGAATGATGTAATTTAATTAAACACAAATATTTCATATATTATATTTTACTCAATAGATGATGTACATTTGATACCAAATTTCAAATTCATATTATTTTATATGCTTGTATTCTAAAATAATAAAATATTTGTATAAAACAGTCATTTGCTAAACATTTAACTTTAAGAAAAAAAGTTGGACGAAAAAATGAAAACTTTGAGAAAAAAATCTAGGAGAAGATTTTATATCAGTAATACGTTGTCAATTCATTCGACAAATGATTGAAATTAAATTAAACTAGATGTCTTATAGCATAAGACTTATATAATATCAGCCCAGCTTGATAGCTTATAATCCATAGAAGAATACAACAACGAGTATTTAAACACGAGTTTGTGTAAAACATTGAAATTGAAATTCTTATCGACATATTGTAATGATAAATGTTTTGCGTTATTGTCCAAGAGAACCTAATACTAAACGGGTGATTCTGTTGCTTGTTGGGACTCTACAAGCTCTATGGTATTAATTCCCTAACACCGGTTGGCACAAGAAAATCAAAATATATTGATGCAATGCGACATAGCTACCTACGTCTGAACATTGTTTCACTGAAATATTCCGATAACATCGACCATGGTTAATCCTTAAACGGGACGTCCTGTGGTGTAGACGGCAGACAATACGACGGGTAAACATAATGACTGTAATAAAAATTAAACAATAAAATTGAAGGAAAAAATTAAAGAAATAACCAAAACAATGCGAAACGCGAACCGGACAAAGCCTTAACGAACTTCCACGGACGAACAACAAAAGAGATTTCGAGACGGAAGTAAAAATTATTACCTGCTAAAATAATAATAATTATTTGCGATTTGTTTATCGTGCGTGTCACAGGGTTAACGGTCATCATAGTCCGACGACGACCGCGGTCCGAGATGGTAAAACAGCGGTTTGAAACGATCCATAATATGTTAAATTACGCCAGTGATCTTCGGCCTTTTTGGACTTGAAAACATTTTACCCGTGATCTATCGTTCCAAAAAAAAAAAAATAAAAAAAAAAATTGATTGGATAAAACTATTTGGTGTACGTAAAATCAAACGGATTTTCGATAAATTTATATTATTTTATTAATTTTAGTCATATTTGTTTCATAATATACAGTGTTTAATAAAATACACTTAATTATTATTATTTTATTATTTTTTTTTTTTTTTTGTTATTAAAATAGCTATAATTACAACGTAAATTTGAAGCTTTCGCGTGACACAAAATCGAGTCGTTGCCACTGATCTCTGTTTCGGCGGCGGTCAACTATCGCGTCATGTCATTGACGGCGGTGCAAAAAAAACACGGAAATTCTGGAACCGGAGCCGACAGACGACCGTGGCCGCGCCGGCCGCACGGAGTGGCCGTGACGGCATTGGCCACGGCATTGGCGTTGGCCTGGCTACAGTTACCCGCCGCATTGTTTGGACGGTACAAGGCCGCGGCCGCGGTAAACGGTACGCTGTACGGCGCGGTCGGCTCGCCGCCGTTCGTCCACCCGACGTGGACGGACGTCGGCAAAAACGTTACGGCCGTTGGCCGGGTGGACGTGTGCGCGTTGAACGCCTGCGAGGCGTACGTCAGGATGCGCGACGACCTGGCCAACGCGGTGCGGCCGATCAACGACAAGCTGCGAGGTGGCGGGGAAGCCGGTGGATTGGGAGGCGTGGCCGGCGACAGGGGTGCGGTGCTCGAGGCCAGGCTACAGCAATTGGACAGGCGACTCCGGTCCGTCGAACAGCCCGGTGAGTATAGCGTTATAATCCTACTCGTATATTCAGAGTGATCCGTGTAGTATGACGTGTAAAACACTCGTTATTTCAATAACTATAATATTATTAAAAGCCAAAAGGCGTTCACCGACTAAATAACATTTTATTATCATAAGTCCTCTCTCATTGCCAACTAACGCGTTATAACAAAGTATATATTATTATAAGTTTGTATGAAGATGTTTCGTATTTTATAGTTTTTTTTTTTTTTTTTGTGAATATGACGTAATTATAAATATATATCGAATTGAGGATCGTTTTAAAAACACGTTCAAAACCTCAAAAAACGAACCGAAAATAACAATTATCATGGTATTTTCCAAAAATGCATAAAAAGATAATACATATTTTAGGTACATGTTTTAAATTATGTTAATGCAATAAAGAACATCATTTATTAAAAGCACCGCATCGTAATCCATTAACAATTCTGATCGCTAGTCGACTGAAATCTAAACACTCGTCGACCAAATTCCATCGAAATTATTTTTAGTTATCGATTAAGAATGAAATTTACTATTATTATTATAATATTTATCATTTATTGAAAGTCGCAATTAAAAATCAAATTCTTTCATGGTCATATATAGATAAAAAACATGACGCCCGAGTGGTTAATTTACATTCAATTTATATAAATGTTTATGACATCCCCTAAACAATCAATAGTTTTAATTTTCTTTTTTATAATTAATAAACAAATAATATATAATACATATAATTCTAAAATTAATATGTTTCATCAATAAAAATTGTTTAGTGGGTATGATTTATAAATATACTTTAGATTATTGTGATGAATCACCTATGATCTTATCTGATCATCTATAGGTAACCGATTAATGTATAATATATATATATATGCCGTATGGAAATTTATCAAGTTTACTCACACGCCCTTTTTTTAACTTGAATAATACGTTAATTCAGGATCTGAATTTTATAATTTATAAATTAATTAAAATAACATATGTTTAATTACTTAGATTTTTTATACTATTTAAGGATTGTTCTGTGTAAATACAAACTTTTATCTTTAAAATGAAAACCATTATTTTTTTTATTTTTTTTTTTTTTGTAATAAATTATTAATTAAATGATTACTTAGGCCATTTAGGGAAAAATGTTCTAATTATTCAAATTTAAATTTAAACTAGTAATTTCTAAATTAAGTACTAAGCCTTATTTACAAAAGATAATAGACTATGAAAATAAGGTTAAAGATATGGAAACTTTAATGGAAAAAAATTGTAATAACATCAATACTAACATATTAATATTTTATAATATTTGTAAAAATATTCTTGATATTGAAAATACTTAATTAAATATTAAGTATCATATTTTGTTGTTTTCTTAAACCATTTTAATAACTATTATCCTGAACATAAACGTTTTAAGAAATCAAAAACTTATCACTCAAATTTTGATTTAAATACATTAAAATTTTTAAAACTTATTGCGAAAAAAGCAAGGTTCTCATTTGAAAAACAGGAGTTTATATGCCATTTGATACTTTTTATACAACTTTAAACTTTAAAAGATCTAATTATTTAAAAATATGGTTTTAAATATATTTTAAAATTCAGAAAATATAGAATTTGATTAAATTTGTTATTAATGAGGGGGAAAAATGGTGAGAGGATAGTTAGAAAATCATTTTGTGTATTATTATCACTGAAGCGGCCTATTTCAAAATACATAATATAAAATTTGTGATTTTTATCAATATCTGTTATTGAATACGGTCGGACACGCCACCGATACATAACTCTAAGATTAAGATGTGGAATATTATTGACGGTGATCTATGTTATAACTGTTCCAGTGTGGACAATCACGTCCGGAGTCTCTCGATGGAAGCGATGTAATCACGGACCGTGCAAGTGCAGAACTGAAACACATTCGGTGAGCTGTTGGAGAAAGGACTTTGAAGAAATTCCACCGGGCCAAACGCTGCCTTTCGACGTTAGCGCAATGTAAATATTACGAGAATGTCGTTCAACTCGTATTACATTATATTATAATAATACTCGCTGAACGCGGAGTTGAAACATAACGTTATAAACAAAATATCCCCTTCCGCCGTTTATTATTACGCGCCGACGATAGTTATTAAATCATATCGAATGATCGTTTCGAAACTGGTAAATTCGCACTTTTTTCAACATGGGGAACGTTTAAAAATACATTAAATAACAATAATTCGTCGAACGAGGCCACTGACACAGTGACTATAATAGGTATAATATGTGAAAAAAATATTACTAGATAGGAGGCAAGTCGGTATATTAAGTTCAAGAAGAAAGAAAAAATATGATTGTGCTCCACCGTTGTATAACTAATATCAATGTTGATTACAGTTTTTCTTTTTAAACCACATTTGCAGTGTGCAACGTAAAAAAAATCGTGTTAAGACTAAACCCTTTTCCATTGTTAACATCGTCTTGTGCAATAGTTTAAAAATCTAAAAATGTGTACACTACAAAAATAGCAAGCGTGATCTAAAAATGTATCATTTGGATCAAATACTTCATACACGCCTCGATTCGTTTAAAAAAAATAAATAAATAAATAAACGAATGATTGAGAAATGTTTATTTCTGATTAGAAGCAGTTTCTATTGACCTCTTTACATTTTATCATAATAATATTGTGTTATTTATTTATTCAACACTATTCGGTCAACACGAAGTCCTGAATGTGAGTAGTAATAAGAATATAAACGATAAATTGTCAGATTAATGTTATGTGGTAGGTATCTACTTCATAATAAGTACCGCCGATATACTATGTTCATTTTATAATCCAAATTTTTCTTCAATAATTGTTTATTGTTAATTCATTATTATTTTACACTCTCTATTATTAGCTAATAACAATCATAGGAAAGAGATAAATAATCAACTTTTACAGTCTCGCAAAACAAAAAAAAAACCATTAAATCTTTATTGGAACTAGCCATCGTTTATGGTAAATTGGATCAACCACAATTTTTATACGTACTTAAATAATATCACAATTGAAATACTGTACGCTATTATAATAACATTTTTGGTCTGTTTTAAAAAAATCATCTTATAGTCGTGTTTTATTTTTTACACCGACTGTGGTTTTTACTTTTCAGTGACCTGAGCACCAACAGTATAGTGTCCCTACACAAAGACACATTTAAAGGCCTGACAAACCTGACAGAGCTGTAAGTGGAATTTCTTGATTAAATTTAATAAATACATAAATTGTGTGTATGGTGTAAATTCAGTGTTGTGCTATAACTTAATTTAATTAGATAAATCATTGAATCATTGTCTAGATAAATTACAAAGTTGGTGTCAAATTAACGTCTAGAATAAAAATTATACAATGTATATATTATATTAGTTATCATAATTATATTATTATTAAACTATTTTAATATTTATCCATCTCTAGATATATTTACATCAAAATTTAAATTACTCAACATATCATAATAACTAATAGTGATTTAAAAAAACATTCTACTCGATGTGTTTTCTCCATCTTACTAACGTACATATAGCAGAATTAATTGTATACTGTTAGCTTTAATATTAGAAATAACTTACCTATAGTTAAAATTACAAGACATCTCATAGATTTTATTAACATTTAATTTTATTTTTAAGTTAGTTATAGTTATGTAAAATGTTAAAACTTAAAAATATTCATAACACACTTGAACATTGTTATATTAATAAATACGTGGATGTTTTAGATAATATTCTCACCTTTTAATAATATTAATGCTAAAACGTACTCCCTATATAGCAAAAAAAAAAAAAAAAATCATTATATATGTTTCTAAATAATGATTTTTTTTTTCAATTAGATATTAAAAAAATATTTTATTTTGTCTAATTATAATAAATAATTGTATTATTATCAATCAATAATTAAATGAAAAATAATCATTGGAGTGCACCACTGGATATAATACGCGAAGCGCCCAAACGTTATGCTAAATAACTTGCACATATGTTCTAGGGACCTAACGGATAACGATATTGACTATATACCCACACCCATTTTCAACACGCTGGAAAACCTCACAAAACTGTAACATAATTTATTATATATTATACACTTATTAAATAAAATATAACTTTGTGTGTATTATCAATAGTATAAAATATTGTTTTGCATGGAACGTTTTAGGAGGTTTCACAGGAATCATCTGATCGAAGTGCCATTATTGTTCAAAAGAAACACAAAACTGCAAATATTGTAAGTTTTCTTATGTTATTAAAATAGTAATAATGTATTCTACCTATATTATGTATACTATCAGATTTGCATTTAAAAATAAATTATTTTTTTTCAAATAACTTATAAGTGTATTGCCTTGAAACATAAAAGTAATGTATATTTAATATGCAAGTATTAATACAAATTGTAATATCAGGTGTTAAATTATTACATAATTTAAATATAATTGATCTAAATACTTTTAAATAGTAGTATAAAATATATAAAGAGAGATTTGCAATTCACCAAATTAGGAACGAAATAGGTACTAGAAAAGTATTCGAAAAATATATGTTTAGTTGACAAATGTATAAAATTACAATCCTATTAATTGTTTTATATCTCTATCTTATTATAAAATATAATTTCATATGACCTATTCGATAACTAACGATTATGTGAATTAACAATAATAATATAGTAATTTAACATTTTAACTCATATTTTAATTGTAAGGTGTAACAATTTACTAATAAGTAGTAAATTCTATGTACACATATTTATTAATATTATATATTATTACTTCCTAATAACATACTGTCATATCGTTTCAATTAAAATACTTTAACTTTCTATATTGTGCGCTTCATATTATATTAATGGGTTGAATTATATTCTTTACTTAATATCAATTTCTCATTACACTTAACTTAAAACTATCTGTGTTCCGTTTTTGTTCTTTCGCGTAACGTACATAATTATTAATGATCAATTTTAATTTTTTATTTCGGTGTTTTCAAGCAATATGACTAAATCGTTTTAATATAGAGGTTAACTACCAAGTAATAATATAGCGTTTGCTGGTTTTGTTAGAAAAACATTATTTCATCGTTAAGCATTATTAATTCATCGATTATTTTTTTAAAGTCGTTTTTATCCCAGTACACAAATTAGTTTGTTTTTTATAACACTGTAAATTTGTATATACTATACTGGATATGGTAACAGTATGATATAGTAAAAAGTCAGTAAATCAGCTGCTAGAAAAAAAATTATGACGACAAAAAGAATGAACGATTGGAGAAAGGCTGATTAAAATTTTTAAACCAGTTCTATGTTTATCGTTATATAATAGGATTTTTACATAAATAGTTTCATTTACAACTGCACCTCAAATTAAATTTATGTATTAAAAACTGCAAAATGATGCGTAGGCAGTGAAGGCAGTTTAAAGGGTGTAAAATATAAATTTAATATAAATTTATATTATTTATACCGCCGTTTATATTATAATGATAGTAAAAATATTTTTCCAACGAATTTTAAACATAAATATTACAGTTTTATTACAACTTTATCAGATTGCCAGATTAAACTGTACATTACAACTCAAATAATTTGAATCAATAGTTGTTCTTATATGTATTGGCATTCATAAAAAAAATAGAAATAAATAATATATTGTATTTTTAGACTCCATTATAAAATATAACCGAAGTGTTAATAACTTGAAAATATTACATTTGCTCCAATTACATACTATATGAAGAAAAATAGATTCTAATGTTATTTCACACGTTTAATGATTTATACTTTCTATGGTCCCTGTTTACTGTTCAAATAATAAGTTACTGAGATTTTGCTTTACATAGGTAATTATTAAATTAAAAATATTTATTTACTCCATCGAGATTTTAAATACATATAATAGGTGAAGATTTATGTTTTGTTTAAATAAATTATCAATATACTTAAATATAATTTTAAAAGTATTCTCAAATGATTAAATTAAATGTATAAATTCATATTTTTATTTAAATTAAATTATTTCGTAATATTATATGATACTTCTTATTAGGGCATGGATATTTGCAAGATTTTTTGCAAATTATTTGCTTTGATAGTCAGGAAGATAGCCAAGTTCCGCATAAATTAAAATAGTTAACAACAAATAAAATATTCACCATTCGAATTAAAAATATTTATTTTATAATATTAATTGTGTATATTTCGTTATTTTCCAGTTAAATAACATGTTTCGACTACTTCAGCAAATTGTTATGTTCATTGACAAAATTCTATGATATATTACTGTTTTGCTTTCTCTGTACCAATCGAAAACTATTGCATTCATAAACATCCATCTTATGTTATTACTAACCGAATATTTTTTTTTCATCTGGTATTCATTCTTGACTAATACGATTTATGTGTTAGCTTATCGTTTTTATATACTGAACAGCTAGTGATGTGTAATTTCGTTTGAACACTTTACAATATTACATTAATAAAATATTGTTTTTTCTATGTAGAACATTCTGCAGAGTTAACATAATTAACCTCTTCCCGCATAGAGGCATCAAATGGTGCCATATATATTTATTTTTATTAAAAATCAGCTTAAATTATAACAGTCTTCATATATCATTCTACATTATGATAACATAGTAATGTTTATATTTTACTAGTATAGGTAGCGCTAGTCATATTTAAAATTGGTAGAAAATGACTAAAAACAGAAAGACTACAGCTTTCCAAAATTACTACAAGTCATCCACTTTAGACAATTTTTTTCATACATAAAAATCAAATAAACTTTTCGAAAAAAATATTTCTGAATAGATTTATAACTTTTGTTTAAGATAATATTAATTAAAACCGGTTTTGGTAAATGGAAGAATTTTTATAGCGAGATTTGTTGATGGAAACATTTGGTGCCAGCCCGATTTGGTGGATGTATTTTTTCAATCAATTTTATGACGTTTTGTCTATTTACGTACAAACTATTGCATGTCTTTACATGCGTCTTATTTTTGTTTTTATTTCATCTATGGATTTTAAATTGTTTCCATTATTATCAGTACGTTGTGTTGTTGTACGAGTAAAGTATTGTTTATTTGGTCTCATAAATATATATTTTTTTTCAATAATTTGTGAAAATGTCTAAATTAAATGAACATACTATTGCGGATTTGTTGGATTTTGAAATGGATGAAGACGAAATGTCTATACCTTCTGGGTCTGAATTTTCTGACCAAGAAGAGGACGAAGAACATTTTTTCAGTGAGTTTGATGTACCAAATTATAATACTGATAATAATTGTTTCGATGATATTATGGATTGGCCTGTAGAATGTGTGGAAAATACAGACGTACTTCCCACATCTACCAATAACATTCACGTAGATCAAAATCCTATTATTATAAGTGTCCCTCATATTTCATTACCTAACCTAACAAGTAGGTAAATTTTAAATTGTAAAATTTTTAAAACGATACAAGTAAAACTTTTTTTTTGTATGTAAATTAATTTTTTATTTCAAGCTATAAAATAATTAACTAACAATTTTAAAATTTGGAATTTAATTTTTTTTTATATTTGATGTATATGTATGTTATCATAAAATAATTAATCAATTAATACTTCTTTTGTTTTATAATAATAAAATTTAAACATATTTTATACACTATTTATTTATTTGTTTGTGGTAATGTAGTTGAGTACTTCAAAACGGGATGGCACCAAATGTTGCCGGATTTTGTTTTTTAAATATCTTTTTAAATAATGTTTTGATATTTTTTTAAGTATTTTTTTCGAATTCTACGTCAAAATTTACATATAGGTACATTTTTTTTTTGTTAATAAAAGAAATCATGCATGAAGAGGTTAAATACGTATGTATTAAAAAAAAGTCATACCTAATTATTACTATTGAAATTTAGTTTGACGTAGATATTAATTAACTATGATGGTATTTTGAAACATTAAAACATTATAGAAATTATTATTTATTGTGTTATTTTATTACGATAGGTAATTCCCAAACTATTGCCACGATTATAATATAATATAGTTACCAACATTTCCTTGAATATAAACCTATATAGTATATGGTTTATTATAGAATAAAAGATATATTTTATTTGATTTACCGGCACGTCCAAACTTTTGAAGTCGTGATTCGCGTGTTAACATATTTGTTTAATGATTCTTAGAGTTTTTAATAAAGTAAATTAAACTGTATGTTTGAATTTTTTTACCAACAGTAATTACAAATTTCGAAGTATAATCATATAATAATATCAGTGGTTTTTGCCATTTCTAAATTTTGCACTAATGCTTTGATATATTATAAGTATATCTACCTGATAATATTCTAAATATTCCTATAATATATAGATGATATTTACTATGTACCTACACGTTTCTAAATCACGCTTTACTAAACAACGCAATATAAACGCAATTGAATTATATTTTATTTACCTACAGAGACATGTCAATGAATCATATAAAACAACTACCGGCAACGTTATTCCAATCGACAAAAAACTTAGTACTGTTGCATCTGTACGGCAACGAAATAGAGGTATTTCCGAAGTCGATATTTAAAGATCTTAATAAACTAGAAGATTTAGATTTGTCAGCAAACTCGTTGTTAGAGATATCGTCTGATATATTTCGAGGCGTGTCGTCGCTCAAAAGATTGAAATTGCAAGAAAATCAACTGCAACAACTACCCTTAGGTAAATCGATTGTGATAATCGCAACATCGCAGACAGCATGCAAAACTATATAAAAATTTGTGATGACGTTTTTACGTTTTTATAGGGGTGTTCGACGACGTAGAGTATTTAGAAGTCTTGTCCTTGAGAAACAATCGCATATCGTTTATTCGTCCCGGGCTGTTTAACAACATGAGGAGATTGGTATATCTAGACCTAACTGAAAACTGGATAAATTTAGTGAGTGATATAATATTATCGTAACTAAAATAACGATTATCATCACTTAGAATTTCTATTTGTGGCATAATATATTGTTTATGAACAACATATAGCTTAACGGCAACGAGTTCACCGACTTGGTAGCCTTGAACGAACTACATCTCGGTCAAAATTATTTGGAATTTATACCGGAACGAACATTCAAAAATTTGGCGTCACTAGAAAAACTTTATCTCTTTTCAAATAATATCCAACAGTTAGACGTCAACAGTTTTTATGGTTTGAAAAATCTTTCGTCACTGTTTCTTAACAACAATATGTTAAAAATTATCGACGACAGGCTTTTCGAGCCATTGATGAATATCAGAAAATTGTAAGTTTTTTTAATTCGTATCAAACACAAATAATATTATGTCTGTAATAACATATAAAAAGTACCTATGTATTTGTTTTTGTTAATATCAATTCAGTTTATCTATAAATAATTTAGGTAATTGTCGTAATCGTTACATAATGTCTAAACCAGATTGACTATTATGAAGTTTCTGAAACTCGATTAATATTGTTGAAGCATTAAATTCCCTCTATGTATAAACTTTTTTTAAAAGATCATTAAAATTAAAGACACAATTAAATTGAATTATACTTAATTTATATTATCATACCTAATAATAATAAGTATCTATATAATTGAAATTCAAATCCATATACTTATCGTATTAACGGTTTTATTTTTAATGTTTATAACTACAAATTAATTATAATGTTCTTAAATATTATCTAAAAATACGAACATCAATTACTTATTTTAAATTTGTGTTCAATAATATGTATTACGACACGTACAAAAATAAAATATTATTCAAACAATAATTTTATAAATGTATTGTTGAATACATATTATAATACAAATTATGATTATTGACTCAGCTGTGATTGAAAATAATATATCATTTATTTATTGTTTGTATATAAATACCTCAAAAATTAAATTATAGTACAATAACCATTTTTACCTCTGATGATTTTAGTTATTTTTTATTAATTAAAGTAAAAATAGTCAAAAAAACTTTAAACTTATAGCCATTAAGTTAAATATTATTTTCTACACACCGTAAAATTTTTAAATAGTTAGATTTATTTTAAATTTTTAAACTATTTATACGTATCGTGTACTTATTTATTCTATGGAGTTTTATTATTATACAATTATATAATTTATACCAACATATATCTTATGTATGATATGTTTTTTTGATATAAATAAACTCAACCAACCGAATTAAGAAAATGTTGAGTATAATACACTTCTACCTATATGTTATAGCACATAGATTATTTTAGATAATATTATGCACATAATGTGCTAATCCACCTGTCTCCGTTCAAAATTGTTTTACTGTATACAGTGATTTATTATGATTTATTTCAAAATATGTAAAACATCATACATTACAGCGATTTACTCAATGATAAATCAAATCATCTAGACGGTCGAAGGGAGTTCCCTTTTTAACATAAAATATTTTTATCGTTATTATAAATTTAGTTGCTGTGAAATAAATATTTTTTTTAAATAAAGTAAACATACGTTATTAATTAACCAAACGATTACTCGTTGTTTGTTACTAGATAAATGAGTTTTAATAATATTAAAAACTAAAAATGATCATAATATGTCCTTGGAATTTGATAATAATTAGCGAAAGGCATATCAATAGCTTTTGAGTGGAATTCTAAACATATTTTACATTATCTTAAGTCGATATGGCACTGTACTCGACATTGTTCTGGCAAACTATTTATTATTTTAAAAACATTATATGCATTAAAATATTAGTAAATTTATATGTTTACTGATACTATATTAAAAGAATAAATTAATTATACGAATAGGTCTAATACTATAAGTCTCTAGATGTTATTTCTTTGTGACATAATATATTTATTAAAACGGAAAATAACTATATAAGTGTAAAATGATAATATTTTTATTTTTTAGACACATTGACAGTAATAAATTCCAATTTCTACCAAACGACTGTTTCAATCACCTACCAAAGTTGGAATCTTTGAAACTCTCAAAGAACCCGTGGCATTGCGATTGTACAATACTATACTTAGCTAGGTAAAAATTATGTTATAAATTAAGTTTTATTTAATATTATTCGATTAATTTAACAACGTTAGAAATTGCGCATAGTATCGAATTAGTCGAGTATTAACGATTCTATTAATCGTATCGAATAATTCTAAACTTGTCGTGTTACGAATAAAAATTATTAGTTCTTTAAATTCGACGCGGAATCAATTAAATAATGATATATGATTCAATATATCAGTTATTCAACGCGGCAAGTGACATCAAACGATTTGATTAAAGTGTTCAATAAAAAAGAAGAAAAAAATCTGTAAGCTTCATTACCATCGATAGTGAAAAAAAAATAAAAATAGAAAATAATAATCTGTGTGTACAATTTTATCGAATTGATAAAAATTTTACTGTCAAACGTAAAGTTTATTATTTTTTTAACAATATAACAAACCAGCTGTTTAGTATTCAGTTTTAAGATTACAACCTATAATAATATATATATTATATATATCTACACTAATTAGTAATTACCAATATGTGTGGTGTATTCGACATATATTAACGCGTCTTTCGTCACCTTAGGTAGTTATATAATATATAAAATCATGAAACGAAATGTTGATTAGTGTTATAGTTTTAGCCGCATCTCGTGGTTCGTCTACCCAGGTCCGATAGAAAATAAAATATATTCAATATTTAAAGTCGACGAATTTTGTGATAGTGATAAAATTATGTTATTTAGAAATAATTTAATAACAATGTGGTGATAATGAAACTCAATATTCAATTTTTATTTGTTCGTTATTCGATTTCCGTTTGCAGATGGTTGCGGGCGAACAGGCAAAAAGTGTGGGATTCGAATCCTACGTGCCGCGGTCCCAGGGATCTGGGTGGCAAGCCCGTCGAAGACATGACCTTTGAAGACTTGTGCGACGGCCAGTGGGCTAGCATGGTGAAGCTTACACCTCGCGTACCCATACGATAAACGGCTACGGAGGAGAAAGAGACATATATCGTTATCATTAAATACACACACATACACACACACACACACACACACACACACACATATATATATATATATATATCATTATAATGTACTGCGCGTAAAAAAATGGCGATTGATTTAATGGCTTTTTCTTGACAATCCACGTTCGAGTATATTATGTATATTATTATATTATATTGTTTGCGGTGTGCGTGTGCGGACGCGTATTGTTTCTTTTGTTTTTAATTGATCGTACGGTTTAATTGCGCGCAGATAAGAAGGCGGCTGTTATCTGGGACAGGCGCTGTGTAATTTTAACGTTTATTATTATTATTATTATTATTATTTTCCTTAATGTGGCACTCGAGACTAATAATACTGTGTACAAGTGTATAAGTGCGTGTGTTGGGTACAGTCATTTATAGATAAGAACAGTAAACAATTTTTGATCTTCGTCAAACATTTTTTTTTATTTTTCGTACTGCAGTCAGCAATAAGCGTTCTATACGATCAGTTCGAATCACAATAAAAGTAATAATTATGGTTGGCACTCGTTCATCGTTATTTTGTCTGCTCTGTACAATCCTGATTTTTCCCCTAAGCGGTAAATACAATATTATTTATTTTAGATACATTTTTAGTGCTTAAATAAATTACGATCAATACACTGTAACTATAGGAGTTATTATATTTATTTTGTACAAAATACGTGTGTATATTATAGATTCGAGTACATTTTAAATTTGTAACGCTTACTTCAAAATACGTTAATTCAATTATAAAACACGAGTGTATACCTGTATACCTATAATCACATAATTTGTTTTACATTTTTTTTGCGGTTTGATTTTGGTTTTAGATTCAAACGGGATAAGCAATTTTGGCGGAAATCAACATCGAAAAAATCTCGTAAGTAATTAAAATAATGCAACGCGCATTCTATATAGCTACTCTTAAACCCGTGTAGGTAGGTAATAGGTACTAGATAGGTACCTAAATCTATATACTTAGATATCGCCTAAACATAATGCTGGTATCCCGTTAAAATAGCGAAAATAAATTGACGAAAATAAAAATCGCGAACAAAAAATAGCGAAAGCTGTTTGAACAAATCTAAATAAAAGCGAATAACAATAATATCGATACTGATTTCTTCAGACACAAGTAAATTATTAGTTTAGAAGCATAATTAAAGATATCTTTATTCTTTAATCGTAGTTTAGTAGTAATCGAATGAATAATATAAGGAAAAAAATAGTACAAAGATTCGGCTGAACGAATTCAAAAATTAGTAAATATGTACCACGAAAATAATAATTTAAATTTTTTTAAAGGGATTGTCTATAATTTGTCATATTATTAGTTTATTAATATTTTATTATTATTATTATTTTTTTTTTAGTTATATATAAAATATTTATAAAAATAAACAATGTATAGAATATAGATACGTCAAAAATAATAATTATTGTCATAATTTTAGTTTTTTTTTTATATTTTCTATTTTTTTTTTTTTTACTCTCTATTTATTCTTTCAATTAAATAATTTTCACTGTTTTTATTCAATATTTTGTGTTTGATTTTTTGATTTTTGCTATTTTGGAGGTAAATTCATAATGCTATCTCTATGCTGATATATAAATTTGTGTTGTTTTGCTTTCGGAAAGTCATCATATAATAACATACACGCAATTGCGTTTTAATTGATACTTGCTTTAATTTTCCCTACATGACGTACTGCGGCTTACTGCCATTTAATATTCCCAAAGAATGTCAAATATGCATAACGTATATTATTCAAACACATTTTGATGAATCCAATACATTATCTATAAATAAGGATAAACGACACTCATTGAACTTGTGAGTATTCGGGCTTATCAAGAAACAAGCATAGAAATATATTATCTAATATTTTCTTTAATTAGTAATTACACATCGCAAAAAAAAAATGCCTGTACTTATTAATTAATACAAAATCAATATGAAATATTATAGAATAAATAATCAATTATAAGATGTTTTGTTTCATAATGTTCAAGACATATCAAAATTAAATTTATAATATTTAAATATTAAACGTTACTTAGGTGTAAAATGTTACACAACAATTCCTGTTCTTTATTTTAATATTTTAATAAATGTCATGAATTGTTATTTATAAAATGTGTTTAAATACTATAACTATACGTTTAAAAACGTACCTATAAAATAACCGAGATTGTCAAAACTGAAAATTTTAATAATTTATTAAACTCACGTTTATAGAATAAAAAGTTAAATTAACTTACTATAGCATTTCTCCTTGCAGTGGTTTATAAATCAAACTACACCACCACAATACCTATAATTAATTTATTATATTATATTACTACCTTATAAACAATAGTTTGTGGGTACCGTGTTTTAATAAATGTACAGGTTCTATCCTGAACACGATACATCGCACTGGTAAATTACCGTATACCTACTTCAGTAGTAAACCATAAATGATTAATACTCATTTATACAAAAACAACTGAATATATTCATAGTGGTACTATTATATTGACGAACAATGCGATGTGACGATGTCATATTATTATAATATGACTGAAACTCATATGCTATATAATATGCATTCAATTATAAGATAACCTCATAACGTCATTTTGTTTGAAACGAACCTATAACCGATGTATAATATATTTTATGTGTAGTTATATTATTTTAATAAACGCCAAAAAAAAAGTTAGTAGAAGACCTGTAAACAACATAAATTAGAATAATATTTATCTTATAAGAGGTACCTACTTTTTTATAGTGTTTTTACTCAATGCAATAGCTGAAAATGTTTTATTTTTTACTTTTCATAAATTATACCTATTATAAAAGTGATGATAAAATTGACATTTTTCGTAGGTCAACAATATTGTTACTTTTGCACGTGTATATACCGATGAATCCACTGTTGTAGTGTCTTTGTAGCGTTTGTGTATAGTATACGTAGATACACGCTAAGTGGTACTACACAGTTGATCGTATGATCCGTATTCATACTAATTGGATTAAAATTCAATTTCACCTTAATTATCAAGTTCAATTAAGTGCAAGACATAACATTTTCATCAGACCAATTAAATAGAACAGTTTGATTTAATTGAATAATTAAATATCATTTAACCGTGATACGGCTAATCTCATGCATTCATCCGAATAAAAATATATATTTGATCTTTTTTGTCCGCTACTGGATATTAAAAATTGCGTTTTAATAGTAGTCTCATATTTTGCGAGAAGGCTCTCATAGTACAATCAACAATAAAAATATTGTGTTCATAATAAATTATTGAATCTTCATTACATAATATTGTAACATTGACAAAACCTACTTATTGGTCGGTGATTATGATTATGAATTGTTGTTGTACACATAATAATTAAAATATTATTTATTATCACATATTATATATATTATGTATATTTTATAGTGTTGAATAGCTGAAAAAAAAATTGTATTATTATATCATATTATTGATTATTGTAAAATAATAATTTTTATATATTATATGAAATGTATAGTACAATAATAAACGTACATCAAAAATTATAATTTCTTTATTTTTTGTTAGATTATTAAAGATCAACTGTAATTTCCATATTAATAACATTTCTTCGTTTGGTTTGGAAAAATAAATTAGGTATCCTAATAGCTAAAATATTTTATAATTAAGTAATTTATTATACAAGGCCGGGATTAAGATGATAAAAAACCCTACCGATTGTGTATTTAAAAGCAAAATATTAAGATAAGATTAAATAATAAGATCTATAGTTAAGCTCCATACTACATGTTGATGTTATAATCAAATTAAATATAAATTATAATGATTTAAAATTTACATAATATTGATGGTATTAATTGATATCATAGAAAATAAGAAATATTTTTTACATTCTAATCAGATGATTTCATGCAAACTAACTAATGTATAACCTAGTATTATAAATATATTATAAAGTTTCTAATAGTTTTAGACTCGATAATTATAATGTTTTTCATTAAACGAAAAATTATATTAATTTACATCGTATAAAATATTGAAACATTTTCAAAAACTATATACGAAATAATAACTTAATCCATATTTAAAATATTATACATGACTTTTCCAATAGAAAATAAAATAATTTTATTAAATTCATCAAGTTTCGAATAATTCTAAGAATGAAAAATACATTTAGCTTAATAAAATAATAGAACTGTAAAAGAAAATATGTATTAACAATTCAATTAATTTATAACGTAGGTATATAAACACATTAGCATTTACTTTATAGTTCATATACTATATTTATACTTAACGTTTCATTTAAAAAATAAAAATAATAGGTAAAATAATTTTTTTCAGCAATTATTTTAAATTGCTAGACATAAATTACTGAATCGATTTAAATGTTCTATACATTTTTATACTGCAGATAGTTTTTTCAATGAAAAACATACTAGACTATATAATATTTAAGATCCAAATCCTACTACCAAAAAAAAATAAGTGATGAAACAAAAATAAGTTCATAGTTATTTAATTGAATTTCATATAATGCATGCATACATATGTACTACACCGCTTATTGATAAGACTTGTATAGTGCTATTTGTTCGGTTTTTACCGATCCAAGCAGAATAAAGTTGTATAATATATATATAATGATTTTGCAAAATATTTTTCGAATTTTGAATACACAGCATCATAACATATTATGGTACTATGAAATTGAATTAAACTCAATACAATTACATTAGAACAATCGTACTCGCAAGATACTCGTCTACAAGTTTAAATTACAATGCTTTCAGATTAAAATAAAATTATACCTTCATAACATAATATTACTTATAGTATAGCAATAATATCGATATTAGTGATTTATGAGACCTTTGTTTACTTTGATGGTATTGTGTTTTATACATTTATAAATTATATACAATTATACGACATTATCTTACATTCTATACAAACATAAACACATTTGTGTAGTCATAGAGCTATAATATATTAAGAAATTTTATTATAATATATAAAATAGAATATAATATTTATTATCGATTAGAACCAAATTTCTAAATGATTAATGTTAGTTTGATTTTTTTTCCTGTATAATGACATTTTGCTGCTTTATTATTTCTAAGAAATAATTTATTTTCAAAATAACAGTTACTTACGTACAACTAATAAATATTCAAACGAGATTGAATATTTTTTACTATAATTTCCATCAAAATCCGATTAATTAAAACCATCTATAATTTGTTAATTTTGTAAAAACTTTTAATAAACAAATTAATACAATAAAAAATAAATAAATATTCCGATATTTTGGGTGAATGTCATATTACATAAAAAACACCCCGTATCATTTTAATTTTTTAATTGTTCTATATTTAGATATTAGTAATTGGTAATTAACTACTAGTTACAAATTACCTAAGTAAAATTAAATAGTTTATTATTGAGATGATAAATTTTATTTTCAAGCAACCTTTTTAGTTGTTAATTTGAGATAAAATATAATTATTAAGCATGAAAATAATAACGTACTTGTTAATATTTATTTAAAATTATAGAAAATATTAGCGATAATTTAAGAAAAATATAATAAATAATAGTTAATTTAAAGTCTAAATCATAAAGATAGAAACATAAAAATGTCGTAGTACTATGAACTAGTACGAATCTATTAAAATAATTGCTTTACTAATATGTTTTTGCTGAAGTGAAATGAAGTGAAACCATTCAATTTCATGGCATTTGATTTCTATTACATATTTACAATAACCTAAAATATAGTTTTTTATAATAAACTATATTGTGAACTTAAAATTTGTAACATTTTTAAATTAATTTAATATCTCAACACGAATAATAACCACGTAAGCACATATTTTAATACATTTCTAATTTAAAATGTCAACGTGTTTAAAGTCATAAAATTCATTACATTTAAAAACAATTATAAAATCATAAATATTTACAGAAATTATAAAATGGAAACCACATATTTTTCAGTTATTCGTAATAATAATGGTATTTAACAACACTGAATATCTATCCATAAATATTTTTGTTTAGCACGAACTCGGACTTAGAGCGAATTCTGATGGTCAAATAGTTAGCGGCGAAGAAACAGAACAATATCCATTTGAAAAAGCATACTATTCATATAAAATACAATCTAATGAGGTAAATAATAAAAATGTAAACAAAATTTTAAAATAGTAGCTACGTGAAATACAGTGTGGTCAATGATTATTTCTCAATTTCCCGTGTCAGTTAAACGAGAAAACGGGAAAACACGACGATGTGCTATCTTGTCTGTACTTGTCATTTAAAAACAAATATAATTAACTTATTTTTGCAGTTGTTAAAAGATGTGCGATTAGAGCCACCAATCGATTATGTAACGCCCGAAGGATATAGTTTGGTATTGGAACCAATTGTTCATTTTTGTCAACGTGTAGATAAGAGTATTATTAAGAAATTTTCTGCAATCGGATCAAAGGACAAAGTGTACATTAATGTCGACGACGATTTGAGAAATATATCCACCAATGATTCAACTATTGTATACAAACTTAAGGTAGGTTGTTAAAGAAAATAAATTACTAAAAAAAAGTATACACAGAAAGCGCGCCACATGAATATTTGAATAAAAACTATAAATACCTATATGAAATATATATGTCATTATATATTTATGTGTAAATTTACATAAAACAATAATTCAGAAACGTGTCGTTAATCATACTACATTATAATATATTTAATTTGACGCGTGTAAAATGTTATATTATTATCTTTAACGAAATCATAATTACGAAAATATAAAATAAATTAACAGGTTATCAATATTTCAAAAATTAAAATATAAAGTATTAATATTTAGATAATTATTGGTATTCCATTTCCAAGTAAAAAAAAAATATTGATATTTAAGTTTGGCATTATACTTAATATATTTTATAATAACTGTGGTTTAAATAAAACGATTGAACAAATTTTTAGTCAAAACCAATCTTTGATATACATATTGAAATACATTCTGACTCTTCATTGTCATGAATTAATCATAATGATTCTTATTATTAAGAATCCTATAAATAGGGTGGTTTAAAGGTTGCGAAAATATTAGTAACATATAAATTTCATTTTACTATGTCTATAATGAATTTATTTTAATTACATTATTTTTATTCAAAACTATACTGTTATTTAATTTAACAATAAAAATAAAAACATTTATTTTTTAGGCAATAAAAAATGTTAATACTACGGTTGGTGGTTCTACGACTTTACTCATCAGAATAGTTGAATTTCTACCCATGTCTGGTACATATTATTGTTAAATACAGTTTTTAAAATATAGATTTTATAAAATTTCAAATCTGTTGTTATAGACACTGTACTTGCGTTTGAAGAACCTAGTTATTCTTTAAAGTTAGCTTATGGTCACAAAGGTAAAGTTTTTAAATTTAAGACCATAAAAACCACACACAAAGCAAAAGAAAAAAACACGGATTTGGAATTTGAAAAACAACCGGAAAACGATAAATACTTTTCAAAAAACGAATATTCTTTTAAGGGCAATTACAGCTTGGAATATGTACCTGGTATTACATATTATTAAATTAAATAACATAAATTATGTTTTATATATTTTTCTTGTACTATAGATACGTGGTTCTCAACCGGTGTGTCGCCGAGTAAGTCCAAATATATCGCGTGAAGTACTAATATTATATGACACAACATTTTTTTAACAATTAATGAGCAAAAAAAGTTTTTTTATATTTATCTATGGGCCTGGTTTAGTAGGCTGGTATCCTTCCAGTTTGTCAGTCTGGGCCTGAGTGTGTTGCCATTTTTATGGATTTAAATTAGGGTATCGCCATACAAAAAAGGTTGAGAACCACTGCTATAGAGTACACTAAGAATTTAATATTATATTATAATTAATTTAGAACAACTTTTAATAAGACTGAGAATTAGTGATGACGGTGAATTGGAGCTTTTGGGAAATATTGATGAGGGATACTATATTTTTGACGTCGTGGCAGTGGATTATAGTCCTAATTCTACTAGCATTTTAAAAGCTAGATCCAAAGTAATATACATATATAAATAAATCATTTTTTAACCAAAAATCTTATGAAAAAATATTTTTATTTCTTTACTGTTGTTATTTCTTTTACAAGGTCCACGTGTTTATCGATAACATAGCAGTATGTAGTTCAGGCATATCTAAATTCATCAGGGCTTTCAGTAAACACTATATAACCGAAGAGACTAAACTAATAACAGTTGTTCCGGGTACTGAATTGAGCGGTCAATGTATATTTTCGATAACACATCAATTTCCGTTCGGTGGTAAGTGCAACTAACATGATCATATTAAGTTAATTTCTAATTCAATAAATATTATGATAAGATAAAATATTATACGTTTGGTATACCTACCGGATAATTAATTTAACGTAATAGGTACACTAATTATTACTTCAATAATAATTAACTTTTTTGAGAAAAAAAAATATTAAAATAATTTTAATTCGTTAAAAACAACATATTTTTTATTATAATATATTATAGTAAAAAAAAAAAATTATTTCTATGCAGAATATTTTTTGCACTTCTACAATAATAAATAAAAATCTTACATAAGACGAATAGTTTATAAATTTTAATTAAAAAGAAAAGTAGAGTTAAATGGGACAGGGCTACTCACAAAATTTAAATCCACTATAATACTATATAATTATCGAAGTTTTAAATACTTATAACTAATAAGTTACTTTTTCAAAATTTGATTTTATAGATCAAAATACTGCTTCAGAATATGAATTGGCATTCAAAAGTATAAAAATCTTTTTAAAAAATTATAGCGTTAAAAACTATATTAAAAAAGTTTTGTAACAATTCAAAATTATGTCAAAGAAATATTTTCAAAAACGTTAGTATTTTCTTAAATGATAGTTTTTTGGTAGTTTAAGCAATACAACGCCTATTGGAATTTTATCAAACCGTTTAATAAATTCAGGTGCAATCATAATTTCACAAACTACAATATTAATATTATGCAGTGTAGCTTAAATTGTAATTGTGATCCCTTTAAATTTAGACGGTAATGATAAACCACAAACTGGCCTAAACTAAGTCCGTATAAAAACAGGGTGGAAAATCTAGATTTATGTCAGATAAACGAATTACCTACCCACTCAATGTTTTAAATACACGGTCACATTCATATTTAGCATACCGCTCATAGAAACAGCGATCTTGCAGGTTATATAAGCACTGAAATAATGCTCTCGCAACGTCATTATAATTAATTATTTACATATAATTCCACAGTGTTACAGTCTTATTAATAATATAAATCTGCTTAATTTATATATGTGAAAAGTGGATGTGATAATAAAATACGTGGCTGCGGTTGATTTAAATTCAACATTAATAATTGCTCTAGATAAATAGAAAAAAATAAATATAAACATATAAAAATTATTTATTTTATCATAATATTATTATATATATTAAAGACACAGACAAACTGATATCAATAACAGTTTAAAATAAAGATGTCCTTCCCTTATTAAAATTTAATTAAATACTAATAGACTAAAGTATTATTTATAAACACTACGCGTATATAGTGGTTTATTTTAAACGCCATGTTTTTATTTTTCCATGTTATTATATTATATTGCTCGTAAATTTCAATATAAATATTATTCATTAAACATGTCTGATTATGATCGGTATATTTTAATAACATGTGGATTGACGATTATTAACGCTAATAATATGTACAAGTTAATAAAACATAAATATACAGACATATGATATTCTAATTATTTCCCTAAGCGTATAAAATATTAAAAAATAATAATTAAAAAGTAACATAAATTATTTTATAGTGTTGTAACAGCCACGTGTCGACTTGTATTTTATGAACGCAACTAAGACATTATATTTAACACAGCCGTATAACGGCCAACGGCCGTGTAGAAACAACTTACTATAGTTCTATAATAGTAACTAGTAAGTACTCTGCTATTGTAATACATTGTAAAGTGTAATATTTACATGATGAGATAAGCGTAGTGATAGTCTAAGTAATACTATTAAAGCAAAATAACAAACGTTTCTCGAGAGGTTAAAAAAAAATCGATTATTTGTAATGATTATTTACGTTTACTATTAAATAATACAATATTAGTTTACTTTATCTTATAATTATTTACAACATACACGTTTGCAAAAATTCCAAAAATGACATTATGAATTTATATTTCAGAAAAAACTATTGATTAAATTAAATTTGATATGCTGTGAGATGAATAATTGACGAATACGAATTTTGCACGTTTGACTATACATAAATATTAACCATGAAACTTCAAATTGATTTTTATCATTCTCCTGAAAAATATAAAATTTACATCCATTTTTCACGAAATCGATTATAATTATTATTTTTTTCACTTAGAGTAACTGTTGCAACGTTTTATATCATTATTCAAGAATGTAAAAGTTGAATTTAGTAATTCATATTAAGTAATCACAGGCGGTTATGTAAGTTTTAAAGTTTAAGTATGGTGGCGGGTAGAAGAGTTTATTATGATACATAAATATACATTATACGGGTTTATTATTTCGTCAAAAATTAGACAATATATCATTCAGGAAATACATAGAATAAAATTTTTATTTTTTTTTTTTAATTATATCAATTTAATCATAACAATCAATATTTATTTTAAAAATTTAAGAATAATTCTATTTTCTGATAAGTATTCCGTAGATAATGGTAAGATAATCATCTTATATAAACATAAATAAATTACTCGAAACAAAGTATGATGTCTTGAATTATCCTGAAAATATTGCACTATGTTGGAAGTATGCAGTAGACGTCGTAGTTTTTGCACAAATTTTTTGATTTTTATACAGTAAAAATATTTTCCCTTCCCGAAACAATAAATATATTTAAATTATTTTTTATACAGATTTTAGGCTTCAACAGCAATAGTTGTTAGCCTTTTGTCAGTTTTTACTATGAGGTAGAGTACTGTTTTTTGGAAGATTGGGTATATGCGGTGAGGATTTGTGACTAAAAACTCGGTTGGGTCGTTCATCTGGGAGCTAGTAACACCGGCTGATGCTTGACCTCAGAACACGTTAGCGACTGAGGCCAATCACTGTGCCACATTACAATAAATATTATACTTGAGTTTATCCAGAACGCAAACTTCAAAATTTAAATACTACTACAATCCCGATTGCATCATTTTTATAAAAAATGTATCAGATCCGTTTGCTAGTTTCGCGGTGTGTACCCACTCGGAGTCTATATAATAAGAATACTTATGTACACAGGCAAGTTATACGTATATTATATTGTATCAGTGCAATACCTACGGACGCGCTCGTAACGGTCATACTCTTAGATTACGCGAATCGATCATCCTCCCGGGGTTCTTCATATTGTTTGTCCGATAAAAATATTAAATATAATATCGCTACCTACATAACAATTTTATACTTATAATATCTAATATCGCGTATACCTAATACTATTTTATTATAACCATAAATTATTGTATTATACTATTATTATTTATTATTTTATCACGCAAAAACGCCATCACCAACAAAAGGCCAATTGTTAATAATATTAATATTATAAAAAATATGATGCCCCCCAAAAAAAATAAATATTTTTATGCATAAAAATTCAAAATAATGCACCTCTAAATTAAATTTAAATTTTGTTTATTTTAAATAAGTTTTGAACTAAAAAATATATTTTTAATTAAAAAAAAAATGCATGGACTTTTAATTTGAAAAAAAAAATTACCACTTATTTTAAGTTTGCCGCGACAACTCATAATTTCAATTTTCATGTTGATGAGTACATTCGAAAATTTACGATTAATATTTAATTAAATAATTTTAGTATAAATTTCTCAAAATGCTCTAAAAAATTATTTTAAAATCAAAAATCGTCAAAAATTAAAAAAGGAACTTCTTGCTTTGATTTAAAAATACACGAAATGTAAATTTTATAAAACGAGCATGTGTAACCGAAGTCTTAGTCTTAATCATTAAGTATAGATTTCAATGGAGAACATTTAATTTCGTGTGTTTTATACATCTCATATCCAAGTAAATAGCTATGGACAAATGTATAGTGTTGAATATCGATACTGAATATTAAAACTATAACAGATAATAATTAATACTATTGTTTACTAAAAAAATTATTAAAAAATATTATGATAATAGTGATAATTTTCGTTCTTATTATTGATTCGAAATAATTCTAATTTTGACATATCTATAAAGTACGTACCTAAGTTATTTATGTAAAGTTGTAACCTATAAATACGTATTACGAGCAATAAAGTATAATAGATATCTAAAATTATTTAAGTACAAACAAATACTTTATTATTAATGCACGCGATATTCTTAATATTTTTTCCATATTAAGTTTATCCAATAATTATTGTAAATTTGCAACTCAATACCAAAATTGTTATCTATCGCTAAATTAAAATGGCCGTATAAAATATACCTATATGATATTAATCAAAGACAACACAATTTCAAATTTAATATTATAACATACCAATACTCATTAAAAAATAAAATACAGTAATACGTATCATAAACGTCATATTATACGACTGCTAATAGTATACTTAACCAAACCAATGGTTTTTTTTTTTATCTGGTCATGAACGCATGATTATTAATTATGTTATTAATGTTTACTACTGCTTGTTTTTTTTAAAAAGATTAAAGTATTTAAGTTTGAAATTATTTAAAAATAAACTACATGACAATATTTTAAAATGTCATCAATTTTTAAGAAATCATTAATAACTTTTAATAATATGAAAACAGTGTACAGTTACTCATCACTACGTTATTCTTATTATTTTTTTTTTACAAAATAAAATGCATATGATGACTTACGGAAGTCGATCCAATACAGTGTCCGACGCCGAAAGAACCCCAAACAATAACATTTTATGTGTATGCGTATTAATACAGCGTCGTTATAGTTTCTAGTCTACACAGCGTTATTACTTATTATAGTATTTTAGTACAGTAGTTGTCATTGCTGATTGCTTATATATTATACTGTTTGAATATCGTCTCACAAGAATCCTTTCACCCTTGTTTGCGTTATAGCATTCTATTCCATATAATTATACCCAGATATAGCGTACGTAATAATATAATAAAAGTTTAAGACTGTATAAATAGTTGATGATGGAACTATAAGCATATTATAGTATATAATATTAAATGAGAAAAATAGCATTATTTTATTTGATGTGTGAAGTTAGTGCGCAACTGCAGATTTTTATTAGGCAGTTAAGATTGTTATTGTTTTATAAAATTATTAATTTACTGAAAAGTAGCTGTTTCGCGCACGTGTACCGGAAGGAATGAAATATATCAAATATATCATAGTTTGTTTTTTTTTTTTTATCATCATATATAATTATAAAACTAAACCCTGTATATACTATGCGTAATTTATTTACACGATGGATTCGTAAATAAACGTATTAGTGGTGGAGAGGAGAGAATCCTCCGAGTCAAATGAAGTATAATAATAACAGATAATTGATCGAAATCACATCGTACGAAACGGTTTCGAAAAATTTCTCTACATAATTTTGAGCTAGTACCGAACAGGGGGTGAAGGTGGAAGGAAGCAATATAATTCTGTTAATTTTCTCCCAAAGCTCGTGATAATATTTATACGTCCGTGTCACTGAGATGGAAATGACGAGTAAAAGTAGTATACTATTATTATATTACGCGTGCTCACAACAACTCGAGATAGCAGTGGCGGTGATGTTGAGCTACATCCGGATATACGTCTAGCTTAATAATATTTGTCTATTTATCCCGCCTCAAGCGGTCGAAATGAAAAAAAAAATTGGCACATATCACATTCTTGTTTTTATGTATACACGAACGCCTCTGTTTATGCAATACACTTATACGCGCTATCATGTAATAATACGAGAATAATATTTACATATACATTTATAAAATATAATCATACTGAACAATAATTACAGAGCACCTTCATTCGTACGAGTACCTATATACTGAGCGTAATGATATTTTCTTTCCGGTTTTGTATTTGATTATTTATCTTGAAACCAATATTGCTTCTCGTCGGAAAATTATATCACAATGTACAACACAAAATTATGTAATCCATTAGTTTATAATATATGGTACTTTCTCGTTAAATTTGCATATTCGTTATCAAAAAAAAAAAAAAAACACCTTTTCTGTGTAATATAAAAGGTTAGAATAAAAATATTTACATTTGATTAAATGTTTTCAACGGAGTTCTAACACTGATTCTCTAGAAATTAACTAAATACTGTTACAGTTATACATTTATTTTTTTGTTTCATCCCGAGATAAGTTTACATTTAAAACATTCTATTTTACTATAATTATAAATTACTTTTTATCAAATATCGATATGGTTATTTATTCTTCGGGCATGAAATATAATCAAAAATAAATAAGTGCATTGACGTATTTGTACTGTTGATCATAAGTTCATGGCGTAACATCTGCACTAGATTAAAATTTCAAATCATTGAAGTTTTGAACGTGATAAGTCTGTAAATATAAACTAAAATCATAAAATAAGCCCCGAAAACTTTCCGTATTTTATACGCCTTGAAATTAATTTGTAGCTTAAATGTAGCAATAACTAAAAATAATGAGTAAAAAATAAAAACGTTCAAAACGGCTAATTTTAGATTTGAATAGTTATTACAATTAATGTATAATTATTATTATCATCAAATCATTCATTACTCATCGCCATAGTTTCTGCGAAAATAATTCACGATCTCACGGTCATAAAATATTACTAATATATTCTTATAAATCCCCACCTTAAATTTTATTAAGTAATAAGGCGTGAAATGAGAAGCACAAATTAAATGTTTTTTCTAAGTGCTCGAAAAAATTGTTTTTCCATAGATACAATTTTGTTTATTAAAAATGTTTGAAGTGAATATTTAAGTATAAGCAAATAAGCACAATAGTTACGACATGCCTATATAAAGGAGAATATGATTATATCAATAAATCAGCTACAGAAGAAGAAATTAAAAATAAATTATAATATCAAAGATTGACGAATTAAGAGTTTGTTTTTGAATTGCAAATTTTCTTAGGATTTATGAATTTATTATTACAATCAAATAGAACTCATTAATGATATAAATAAAAATATAAGCGTTGTTTCGTTCTAATTATTATAATATTATTGTAGGAATTTATAGCTCTAATTGTTTTAGATCTATTAAATCGATTTTTTTTTAAGATTTTCATATAATGTTTAAGTGCAAGTCGCTATTAAATTATTACGCATATTATATCCACGGGTTTGAGTTTCGATAGATTTACCGCGGTGACCAGGCACAATTACTAGTATACCACCATAATATTGTATTAATAATAATAACAGTTTTATTACACATTACATTTACTATTATTTTAATATACATGTAGAGTTTATTTAATCCTGGCCGCGTTTTCTTATCGACCACAAACTTCATCGTCTAGCTGCGTAGTTGTCGGAGCAAACGAGTTCCGACGTTAATGTACAATGTGCACTGTATCACGTCATATTATTATATAGGTACTGCATAAATACGATCACTGAAACATAATAATGTCTTTTCTCTCTTAGATTTGCGTAACACATTTTTATTTAATTTACACTCGTATGTCAGTGTGTGTGTGTGTGTGTGTGCGTGAGTATACGTACACCATTTATACACGTGGTTTGACAACAAACGTTTTAATTATTATCCCCAATGGAATATCAAATAAGATGAATGTTACTAGTGGCAAAATTTTGACCAGTGAGTATAAAGAGGTGTACTGATGACCAACGGGTTTGTAATATGTATAAAGTCCCCTTTCCACCATGTCCAAATTAATCTGGGCAATACAATTGTGAGTTAAAAAGCTCAAATTGCAAGTAATTAGAAGTTGAGAACTTTTGAATTTTTAAATAAATTAATTGAAAAAATTACCAAAATGATCTAATATGTACATATTTTACCATTTTCATGTGGGGATGGAAAGATTTTCGAAAGTTAGTTTTAATCATCTAAATTAACGTTGTCTGAATGATCAAGATGTGAACTAGCGAGTAACAATTTTACGATATTGTACTCATAAATATTAAAAGTTCTGCTTCATGATCAGGCTCTTCGACACTATATAATATTTTGAGAAATACAGAGTGTTTCATGACTAACTGACAATTGCTATAACTTTTGTTTTACTGAACATTTTCATTTTTTTTTTTTTTTTTTTTTTTTTTTTTTATATAATCATGTTTTAAAAATCATATCACCAAAATGACTATTTAGATTTTTTTAGATGTCAAATAAAAAAATTTTTAATTTTGTGAAATTTAAAAAAAAAAAATCAAAAAATATTTTAAATGTAGTGCAGATGACAACTGACAATTTAAAAAAAAAAAAAAAAAAAAAATTAAAAATGTTCAACAGAACAAAAGTTATTTTAATTGTCAGTTATTCGTAAAACATCCTGTATAAATTGCAGTTGTGTCATTAACATTTTTTAAGAAATGATACGCAATATTATTGTTTTATGACGTCGATTGAAAGAATTTTTCCAACCTATTTTAAAAAATAACTAATTCCGTCTTAAATACGATTACATTTTTTATTTACATCATGCATTATGAAAACAAATGTGTATGCAATTTAATGTATTTAAACTATTTTACCATCGTATTACTATATTGCAGGCAATCCATTAAACGTAAAATACTTATTATTTCGGAAACTAAAAACAAGTTTTTAATTTGTATTCCTTATTTTAAAACTGAATATCTTTTGGAGTACTTTAATTTTTTAAGCATCGAAATACTTCAAATAGTTTTTTACCTCCAAATATGAAATTAAAAACGTATGTATAATAGTTATTCAAAAAAGTAAAAAACCTTAAACAAATAATAATGATAAAAAATAGAAAAACATTCAATGTTTTCAAAAATTATTTTAATGACTGAAATTTATGTAAAAGAAACATTTCAAAATCTTTCTTGTCTAGTTTTTTTTTTTTTTTTTTAATTAATGAGTGTCTTATATTAAATAGATCATTCCGCATATGCTTTGAATTTACTAACTGCAGGTATATATTATATTATTATGTATCAGCCCACATTGATTTTCTTTTGATGTTTAATTAAAAAAGTTGCTAATTAAGTATAACATTATTATGTCTTAGATGACTTAGATGAGTTATTATCTTATCAATTTCTAATTTTACCTATAATATCATATCATGATAAAATTTCTCTGACGTTCATAATGATTTTTACTAGTAAATTGTTTCTTTTCTATTTTTTAAGTAAATAACTACAGGGTTTCATTAATAAATAATTATTTTTAACATATGAAAAATGTATTTTAACATCATGATAATAATACTGAGAATAAAAATAATTTTTATAAGCCTACAAATATAGTTTTCTAAAAATCATTATAAAATTATGTCGTGCATGTTACTCCTTCGAACTAAAAATAAAACACTGCAGTTAAAATTTAGTTCATTAAAGTGGCTATTAGTGATGTTTACGACTATGGAAGCATGATATAATCATTGAACGTTTATGCTGCTCGTATAAATAAATATTTTACTACCATAAAATCGCGATGACGGTCTATTGAGAAAATAGTTATACGTGGATGATAAAAGTAACCACTGTTTCATACTTGTGCAACCCTAAACTTACTTATTACCATTTGACCACAATATTACCATGATTATTAACACAACAATATAATACATAAAACTTATAAATTATAAATAATTTATAAAAAAGAGAATCATTCCCAAATATTATTAACTGTATGATTTCTCGCATAAACAATATCACAATACAGTATAACCTTCGTAGTATGAACCCTCAATTATCTGTATACTACAGTTAGCGCATTCGAATGTTAAAACTCGTTGAAGCACTCGTATTGATAATTTTGTTAAAATAAAATAAACATAATATGTTCCTAGATGTATGCAATTGTAATAAATATAAATTTGTCATAAAAAAAAAATAAATAAAAGGCAACATTGTTATTATAAAATGTTGTATTTTGATAATAAATTAATAAGAAAGTCTATTCAAAATCGATAGTTTTCAAATAGGACTATGACTATGCCATAATAAAATTTCCCCTTCCCGTGAAAGCGTAGCATTAACTAGCATTATTATTTATAATCTAAATTTATAATTAAAATTGTATTTTGACCTAATGCACAGTGGGCGCGGACTTCTTCACCATCGACAAGAAAACGGGCGCCGTGAACGTGAAAAATCTCATCGACCGGGAGGCGTACTGGTTCGAAGACATGGAAGAACCGTCCGTGTATCTGAGACTAAAGGTCCACTGCCCTCCGGCGGTGGACGGTCTATCGGTCATTCGGCCACTACACCTGTCCGACGTGGACCAAATCGTCTACGATCCGACTACAACATTGGTGCAGTTAGTCATTGTGGACATCAATGACAACGCGCCGGTGTTCGCCGACAAGCACATAGTCGTCGGGTATCCTGTGCAAGACGTGGCCAACACCATTATTCCCAAACACCTTCTGCAGGCCAAGGTAAGAATAGTTGATGACCGATGGGTATTGTATAAATTTTTGTTGTCAATGTTTTTTTTTACATCGATCGAAAACAAAGACCAAAAAACAAAACACAAAAAATTAAAACAGCAAGCATATTTTAACTTTCGTCACAGACGAAGTAGGCGTTATGTCTTTTAAAAGAGAATTTATTCGATGAAATGCTATTCGACGTATTGAATCGATCACCGACCCCAAATGGTTTTTCTTTAGTGAACCTAACAAATACTAGATGGTAATGTATTATCGTAAGATATGATGCAATGTGTATATGCTCTTCACGAAAAAATACTATGTCGCATACATACTGTATTATGCATTATATTATAAACTCTATACGTGGTACCGGTACATTGACACGGGTTTCGCGTACTTATGGCAGTTGATATTTTACCGAGTCGTTTTCGTGTATGCGTTAAAGTCTATTGAAATAATAATAAGACAATCGGCGTTATGTAACCACAGGTGACTGAATGGTCAATAGAAATTATCAAATCAGCTGGAAGTTGTACCCGGTTATCGGTATACATCTCTATTCAACGGTTATCGAAACAATTACTATACGTCAATCATTCAACTTGTATATGCAAAAACCACTGTCCCTCTCTATACTTATATACATACAGTATTCGTCTGTAACAGGTCCACCGGTTTCACTTGAGATATCTAAAATTTCGCGTTATACTTGTATAATAAAAAAAATGAGTCTAGTACTATGATCAAAACAAATTTGAGTTTTTAGTCCTTCCAAATAAAAAAACAAGCGTCGTCCTATCAGATAAAAATTTATCTTGTATTAAGTAATAGTAAGTTTATTATTTAATGCTCGTGTTAGTCTGTGCGTATCAAGTTTTCGCATCAACAATACGTGTGAAAGTAAAACGTTTTATCGAGTACCTCTACTATATAACATTATAATATACCTCTATACTAAGTATAATATAGGAATTAATGTAAGGTATTGTACAGTATATTATTATAGCGATAAGACTATCGACGTTTTAGATAAATCGTGGTCGACAATTTCGGAGAACTAAATATTATAATATATGCTATTAATTATTACACTCGTTTATAATCCATAGCTATATGTCTATATTTAAATGTGCATATATCATCCACGAAAAACTTACGAGGTCGATCGATATTATTATTACTATTATATACTGACGCGGTTATCATTTTAAATTGCACACGGGGTCTAGGTCGCGCACGACATAAATTTACTGTGACCGGACATCGGAAACGTCGCTGTACTAAATAAAATATAATATAGCGCCAAGTATTAGAACGTAAAATGTGTTTAAGTCGGTCTAGTTTATAATAGTATATAGATACAGATATTCAAGGTGAAATAGACGCCTTAAATAGACAACAGTAACGATGACGACGATGGTGCGCGATTATTACATGGCCGACTTTGTTCACGTTAAGTTGTATATTAAAATATCGCATATTATTATATCTTGTATAGATACCTACCGTTATCATAAAAAATACTTCCCCGGCGACAAAAGAAGCAGTGGTCATCAAAATTATTATTTTAAATTTATTATCAAACAGTCATATTAACCGCAAATTTCCGAGTTAGTGCTCTTAGCACAGGTGCCTGTATTATACAGATTAATCTATGCTTATCCCATATTCCTTCTTTATAACGCAGCTATTCAATATCTGATCTATAGAATTTTTATTTAAATGTAAAATCTATATTTTTAAATTCTATTTTTTTTTTTTTTTTTTGTTTGCTATACATTAACACGTTGATGGAGGTGGCTGCTATTGCATTCGTCAACTAAACAACCCTTTTAAGATTAATACTATAGCAATTATCAACGTGTAAATATTTGTTAACATATTATGATTTATGGTATAAATATTTCTAAACTATGTAACAAAACAAAAATTGCCATAAACTGAAAATATATGAAAAGAACCGTTTTTAAAATTTGAATGCTATAACTGTCACGTGGAACATAAACTTTAAAATCAAGAATACTATAGCATGTAGCACATACTATGTACAGTCTATCAACGTATTAAGGATTATTATCTTTATTTAAATATTTTAGTAAGTTACTCAGAAAATACTGTTATGAATTTTGAATTAAATGTATAGTAAATAAGGAGGACGATAGTGGAAGGAGAAAGAGGTTCTCATTTAAAAAACAGAATTTTGCATCACCACAGAACAGACACTCCTTGAGTAATTTCAATAATTTTTAAATAATAAGGTATTGTAGTATATTGAGAAATTTCAAAAATAAACATTTAAATAAATGTATCATTAAAACAAAAAATAGGGTGTGAGCATGCTTAGAGAATCATACTGTATACCTCAATATCGCATTTAATAATATATAGCATTATGATACACTCGTTTTCCATAATTATGCATCAGAATATTATTATATATTATCATTATCGAGAACTTACAGTAGAAATCACCTGCGGCCGACATGTTTATTTTTATTTTATTTTTTGCATTGCGTTTTGGTGTCTGGTCTGTTTTATTATTGTTGTTATTGCTATTTTGTTTTCGTCGAACCATGATTAATTGATCGACGAGAAGAAAGTCGTGTCGCTTAAGTTGCACTCTTTGGAAGTACTTATTATATCTAATACTCAGGCGAGCTATATATAGATACGCTGGAGGTATTGCTGCACGAAGTATAAAATATACACATAAATATGTGTATGTGTGTTTGTATGCGTACACACATAATTGAATAATAATTATTATAACCATTGTTTCTATGCATATAATATTATTATTTATATTATTACATATTGTCCGGCTGTGTAAACAATTATCGGTGTCAGCCTCTTCTTTTTAACCTTTGACAGTGACAGTGTTTATTGATTTCTGCACACGTATAAAAACGATAAATTAATACTGAACTTATAATATGCGTAGTACGATCGAAAGCATTTATAATATCTATAATATATCTATACAAATTCTACAATTCAATACACATTTTAATGATCATATTACATCTGATATATTAACTGTAGACATACGCATACATTTTATATAATATATTATATTACTCCTATAGTTTAGTGTTTACTACACGGCCAGAAAATTGTTTAAACATAAACAAAAAAATAGCCGTAAACATTAATATTGATTTATTCTTATCTAAATACAGAGTCTTAAAAATTTCCAGTGACAAAAATTGGTGAGAATTAAATTGGTTCTAATGCAATTCCTACCGTTTTTGTCACACAAAACGTAAAAGACACTGTATACACACACACACACACACACATATATATATATATAAACAAAGGTAATTTTTTTAGATTAATAATAAGTGAACTGGATTGACTTATTTTAATAGATCATTAAATATTATACACTAATCTACTTCTCTTAGTGTAATAAAACTTACAATAATAATTAATAACTTGAAAATTGATTTTAATGTATCAAAATACTCAAAAAACTACGTTAATATGGGATATAAAATTAAAATCAAAATAATTGTTTTAAACTTAAATTTTTAAAAGATTCAAAAATAGTTTAAAAACATTAATGGATATCGAAATAATAGTTTTTTATATTAAAATAGTCACCGTATATAATAATATCTAAAACGACATAATATAGTTTCGTTAAAATACAAAATTATTATTTTGCATAAAAATTAATTAATACCTACTTTTATCGTTTTTTTAATAAAATTCCTATATTTCATAGCTTATAATACTACTAATTTATTACAAAAAAATAAATAATATTTTAAAAATATTTATAATTTATAGTTTTCAGTGTAATATTTTAAACTATTTTCACTATCGCGGTCGGTTCATTTCATATTGTTAATTCATTATTTTTTTTTTTTTTTTTTTTTTTTTTTTTTTTTTTTATAAATTTCAAATATTTTATCGCTACTACAAAGAAAGATTGATTTCCTTTTTAATTTATGGCAATATATATTATTATGATTTTATTCACATATACTTCAGTAAATTATTTTTCAGAATGCCGGCATAAAATAGATTGCTACGAATTCATATATCACGAACACTATTTTTCATTACCTATTCACAAATTTATTTATTTTCATAGTGTTGATTAAGTATATACTTTTTCTACCAAGGCCACTAATTATTGACTTAATGGTTTAAAAACATGGTAAAATAATGAGAACATAAAGACTTGAATTTAAAAATTACTAACAGAAAAAAACGAAAAAAAATACGCGTATTGCTATATATTACTTCATTACACAACTCTCTTCTTGTTAGTATTCAAAAAAGCTGCAAGTACTTAAAAAAGGTATATTTCTTGTGTTAAGAATTTAGAGCTAAAAATAAATAGATAAATAAAAATAATGAAATAAAGTATTAACATAAAGTTATAAATACACAAAATGTATAAATATATATTTACCACTATGGTTTACTTTTTATGAACAGTGTCATCCATATTTTACATTTTACAAAATCACATTTTCCAGAAAAAACTTAAATAATATTTTTATAATTTATACTTACTTAATATACTGTTTAGTATCATCTGAAATTCAAACATTAGTTATAAAAAAGGCTATAATCTTACTGTATTATTTTCTTCAAATGTATTCAATGTTCAGATTATTTATTTGTACCTACGTATAAACTATACTTTCAATGTCTTAATGTCTAACCTACAACAGATACATTTTAATTTCGTAATTATTAATGTAATATACAATGATACTATTCTTGAAATTAAGCTATTAATATTTCAATTAAACTTACCAGAAACACCATACAATAACATGATACATTCGACCATATTCAGTTCAAAAATTGATTTTTCGGTACTTTTACTATTATATTATATTAAATTATACAAACATAGTAACATTAAAGTTTGAACACAATAATATGTAACTATAATAGTGCAGTTTATTAAATTATATGCGTAATTATATTTATTATTTGTTTATGTAAACGTATATTTATCGCAGGTCGGATTCATGGTCATCAAATTCATATTGAAACAATATTGAAGAATTATTATTTTAGGCCAGGTATATAAAATAAATTCATAAATTTATAATATATCGATTATATAATTGCAGGATACAAATAGTGGTATTTAGTATATCGTGCAGACTATCATAACACATTTTATGATTAAAAAAATAAATAATATTTCTTTATCCCTGTAATTTTCAATAATAAATAAAGATCGATAAAGAATTCTAGTATAAATTGTTACTTTATTTGTTAGAACATAACAATAAATTCATAAAATAGATGAAGTTTAAAAAAAAATCATATAAGCATGTTAAAAAATGTTAAACATATTTTACATTCTTTTTAATATATATAAAAGTAAATTATTTCATTTAAAATTTACTTCGTAAATAAAACATTTTTAACATTTTTAAATACTAAAAATAGTTTGTGGATAATAACTCTAAAAAATACATTTTTAATATATAACTTTGATAGAATGTAGATTAGTATATTAAGCACTAAAATAAAATATATTATATACAATATAAATATAATGTAAAAAGTTTGTTTTACATTTATCATTTAAATTATTATCAAATGTATAAAATATCTTAATGTAGAAACTTTATTAACCAACTATACCTAAATATAAATATTTATGATCATTTTTCAGGGAATCTTTATAGGTTTATTTTAATAGAATCAAATAAATGTTTGCCTATTTGCATTTTTTGGCATTCCGACAGTATATATATATATACGTATATAAAAGAACTTTTCTTTTTATAAAACTGAGTTTATTTTTGTTTTAACAATTGAGTTAATAATTCATAATATTATAGTGATATTAAACTTTAAAATGATAGTTATTTCATATTTTGACTTAACATCATGGAATATTTGTATGTTTGCGTTTAGCAACATTAAACCTAATAATGATTTTAAGATTTCTTAAAATAACTAGGTTTTCTTTTTCCTATCAAACTTTTTTATTGAATTCTGTTCAAAAATGTCCAAAAAGTTTTTTAATCATTATACTTCTTAAACATATTTTTTGTCGTTATAAATGATACATATTTTCTATCAAATATAATCTGCAGACAAGACAAATTGTGAAAACATGTTTAGCTGATCGAAACTTCTTAAATTACTCTGAAGAAAAGAATTCTTTCTTTAAATTATATATATTTGAAGTAAAAAAAATAATAATTTTTACAATAAACGTCTGTTAAGAAATATAATATAACACGCTTAATGCATAAAAAATACACTTGAGTAATGCGTACACATAATATTATATAATAATGTACAATTTATTGTTTTCTCACCGTTTATTTTTAAAATATGTGAACGTCCAATGACGATGAATGAAATAGTATAAAATAATTATTACAAAATATCTATAATCTAAAGTAAACATTTTTTTAAAAATAATTCAATGATTTTTGGTTTCAGGCGACAGACAAGGACGCGGGAAAACACGGAAAAATACAATACTCGCTGAGAGGAGATAACGCTAATGACTTTATCATAAACGCAGACACAGGAACAATATATTGTATGAGTCTGGTGAACGATAGCACTGCGAATAAAACATTTGAGGTTGTAGCCAAGGACAACGATGGCAAATCCGACGGATCGGAATCTACGATGGCTATTACCGTAAGCAACGGGATTGATATATTTAGCACATTATATAATGTACATCAAGTATCATATGATGGTCGCTTCGTTTAGCGGTCAAAGGGTCGGGGCAAAAAAATATAAACGTGATATCCACTAGAATATAAGATAACTCTGTGGTTTCGTGCATAATATAAATAAATAATTTTGAAAATACCATCCTTAAAATTGAACTTTGGTTTGACGATTTCAGGTGAAATTCCTAACGTTCTCTGAAATCGTTCGGGTAAGCGTCCAGTTCAGCTCCACCGAAGATCCCGCAGCTGTCGAATCACAGCTGTCTGAAATATCGGGTGTCAAAGTTATGTCGCTCACCAACGACGTAATCAACACATTTATGGATGGTCAATGGCACACTGAAAGAGTGTTGACCGTGTACGGAGTAAACAACACTGATGGTTCGGTGGTGTCAGCGTCAGAGCTACAAAAGTCAGTTGAAATAATTTATATGACAAAAAATATTTTTAAAATGTCAATTTTACGTTACATTTGATTAGCACTGCATTTCAAAAAATTAATTAAACCGGTTTCGGGATGGATAAAACATTTTAATTTTTTGCAATTGTCACTCGTTAGTATAACTTTTAAATTGGTAGATACAGATAATTTATTCGAATTTGGGGTGTTGGTGAACATTATACGTATATGCTAGCTTTTCAAAACAATAAGTTTATAAATTAATTAACCTTTTTATTTATAAAATATATTTGTATATGTTTTCATGACATAATAATAAACGTTATGTGCATAATTTTTTTTTTTCAGAAATCTAGAACATAACGCCAAAGTATTGGGTGTAATGCAATTATACAATACAAATTCCGACAACGAAACAAGCACCGTGATGTCCTTAGTATACGCAGCAATGTTTTTCTTAATGTTGTCCATGGTAGCTGTGGGTTTGCTTTATTTTGGATACGTTAAGTGAGCACAATCATTATATTATATGTATTATTATTAGGGCTATGGTTTTTATGCACTGTAAAATATAGTTAAATATGCGTTCAATTTCGTTAAAATAATATATATAATATGCAAATATAATAAAATATTCTATGACTTGCCAATATTTTCTAACCTATCAATAAGTGAAATAATCGTGTACAAAATATCTCGTGGTTTCAAAACAAATTGAATAAAGTTAGTTTTTGTGTAAGCAATAAGCACTAAGCTAAATAATTTTTGTTACTCTTCTTTTTTTAACGAACTCGCAGTATTTTTAAATAGTTTTCGTTTAAAGCGAAATCACTGATTTTATAAAATTGAAATTACGAGCGTAATATGATATGACATCTAACTTTTGGACTACTTTCGTTTTAACATATCATAAGATATGTATTTCTCGCTTTTATATTTGCAAAATAAAAAATAGTTCACAACGTTTATTCGTATGAAGTACCACTTCGTGAACATTGTTAATCACAATATGTGCGAATAAACGCTGCAAAAAAAAAAACATATTGGTGTAAATAAATCCTAGTCTTAATATAATTTTACATAAGTACGCAAAGTGCGTAAAATTTACAATAATAAACGAATTGCGTTAAAAATTTAAAAACGTTTTAAATCACTTTTTGTTAATAATTTATTGCCGGACGCTGTCAATCATATGTTAATTGTTTTATGCTTTATAGAAACGGCCGTTATTTGTCATGTATTTCCAGTCCGTCCACGACACCGCTGAAAGACGATATCGAAAACATGTAAGTACCTATACGGTCCATAATAACTCGGCCATTTATCGCATGTCTGCTCCACGTAATGATATTATTATAATAATTATTATATATAAAATATATAATATGAGTACTGCGTGTATATTGCGTACGTGTAATATTATATCATTGTACGTCAGTTTAAACCGGTTTTTTTAATATTATTTATTTTTTTTCGTTCTCAGGAGTCAGAGCAACTGGATTACGACTTTCAACAGAACCAACCTGACGTCTAACAGAGTACGATTCCCGGGGTGATTATAACATTATTTTAAATTTATTTATATCAATATTAGATAGTATTATGTAATTTCGATTTTTTATTGTCCAACGACGCGGTGTTTTTTTTTTTATTTTACAGGGATATTAACTCCGAGGCGGTGCCGTGTAGATCCAAAATCACAAATAACGCGACTGTCGTCGTGGAAAACAGCCTGTACGAGGCTATACCGCCCAAAGGAACCGCCGTCTTGGCCGTGAATAATAATTCCTCGATTGTTAAGCTCGAGTAAATATTCCAGTCGAGTCCCGTATAATATACACTTAGAATAATATATTGCGTGATTCGTTCAAAATATATATATAGCTTTCTTTTCTTTTTTTTTTTAGTTCTAAGGTCTCCTTTGAAGATGACTTGATAAAGTTAGAAAAAATGGACGAGGTGTTTACGCCTACGGACGAATTATCTTTTAACTATTGAGTTTCAACTTCTGACAGTAAAAAAAATCACTTCAGTCGACATTAGTTCCAGTTCGACGTTTAATTTTTTTGTCCGGATATACACACTTCGTACACACATTTCTATATAGCACCTACATATTACCTACCTATTATATACGTCCTGTTAATATGATAATTGTATATTATTTTTAAAACGCGTTTACAAGACCTTACAATATTTTTATGTATTTAAATCATTCAAAAATCACCTTGAATATTGATAAGTCCTTGCTCAATACTGTTTTATGTTCAATCGGAAGCTCATTCAATTTTATAGAATATCGATGACGTTAAAATCCGTTACACTTTTTTGCAAATAGGAGTGGTAATTTTTTTCGATGATATTAATATGAACCTGTTATTAAATTCAACGATTCGCCAATTTCAAAAGCGCTTACCGATCACCTTGTAACACATTTATAATACCGATGCGGAATTTAATTAAGATAATAGTCCATTTACACAAACACTAATAATATCATTTATTGTGAGCATGTATATATACATATATATATATATGTATGTATGTGTGTGTGTGTGTGCGTGTGCATAGATCAAATTTTTAATTATGATTAGTTGTGTAATTTTAAAATGTAGATTTACCATGAAAAAATCTGCTGCTCGTGGCTTGCTTTAGGGTCAAAACGTGCTCGACTATATTCGCATTGTTGATAGAAATTAATCTATATTAAAATCCTATTATCAAAACGATAGACTTGAAAACAAGCAAGTCAAAACTATCAAATTTATTGCACTATAGTATAATCCATTTAAGGAACGTATCATTAAACCGAGACTCGATGGCACAATATTTCGTGTAATAACATTAAACATTAAAATGTCGTCTTTTATCCAAATGTATAATATTGCAAGAGAACTATCTTACAATAAAACTATTGATTTTGTAGAAACTCAATAATATTATATTCAAACTATCAACAATCATTAACATTTTCAAATATAATCATACTATATAAATATTATACAATTTTTTTTTTTTTTACTTTCATATTTTATTTTATACTATAATATTGGTGTAAACCATAATTAATTCCAAATATATATTTTTATGTATAAGAAAAAATACATAATAATTCATTTTATATCGATCTCAATTTCTTGTGGATTATCAACAAATAATAAAAGTTCCTTAAGTGTAACTTTATTTTTAAATAACGTGTATAATTATTTTAGTTGTGTTTATTTTATTTATTTTAAATAACTCAGTAAGTCATTTATGTAAAACTCATAAGCATCAAGTTTTTATGGAAAACTATTATTTTCAATGAATGTATTCATAATGCATATAACTACTACTAAAAATGTTTGAGTCTGGCGTCTGCTAACACAGAATCACTGAGAAAATTATTTTTTCTAATCAAATATTCACTATTTATAAGAGAATTAAACATTTCAAAAGGATAATCAATCATATTATAATTTTTATTCTTTCATAAAGAAAAATTTATTCTAGATATTCTAGCATTATTTTATTATATTTATTATTTGATATAACGTTTATACTTTATATATTTTGGAATATAATTTTCTTATACCCTAATCATAGTAATAATACTTATAAATTATAGGCGTACATTTTTGTTAGTATAAATTTAAGATTTTATTTTTATATTTTAGTAAACATAATATAAATAATTGTATTATAACAGTTGAAATTAATTAATTGTAAAATTTATATATCTTTTATAAATTATGTAAGTGTATATAAATGTTTGAATAAATACGTAGATCGTAATACAATTATTTAAATCATAAATGGATCGATGAATTTCAGATTTTCTTTATTTTTTGTTAAACAATTACATTTTATACATATCTGTATAGTAATATTTTAAACTATAAAAAATAAGATTCATTTCTATACTTAAACTTCAAAGTCTGCTTTTGTTTAATGAGTACCTAATTTGTAGTCCACGTATAGTAATTATTTACTATTCATCAATATAGGTAATAGGTATATAAATAGATTTTTAATTAAAATCGTATTGGCTTTCTATTGGATTCTTAATAATTGTGTCACAACAAATACATGGACGTTCTTCAAAGGCCTGAATGTCGTTGCCATATTTATTTTCCTCCAACCGTTACAGTCACACGGAATCCACATCTGTATGTACCGCGGTCCACTTTCATAATAATAATAATAAAAACGATAATAACGTACGTTTAAAATTAATATTAGACTTAAAAAAAAATATATCCTTATACGATCTTCAGGTAAGGGCTTATTGGCATTCCACGCTAAATATGATACCTAAATAATAGCTACATCGGCAACACCATAAAGCAATGCCATATGTACATGGATAGTTATAACGCTACAATATCACGAATATAATATAATATTATATTATATCGGTAATATTATTATGTATATAGTATATGTACCATTGAAGGCGGTTGATACGACTAAACCGGTTCATATAGAAATAATTAGTGTTGGATTGTCATCTACGCGAGTGATTATACAATTTGCCCAGATATCGAGGGAGATCGTATATATGTATAATATAATAATATTAATATCTATAGTTCTCGTCTATGTAATATACTTTTTTTTTTATTATTATTAATAAAATATCTATCACATAAAATACAGGTAATACCGCTGCTGCAGCGCGTAACACCGTAACGCTGCACGCGAATTATCTCTCTCTCTCTCTCTCTCTCTCTATGAATATATATCATAATAACCCTCCAGGGATACTCTCCTCCGCGAGACTGGATCGTGATGTATTGTGTTACGGTCGGGCTGCACGCGCATTTCGAAACGGATGCCTCGAGTACACCTAACTAGTATTTGTGGTATACAGGGTGATTCATCGATCATGCTCATCCCCTTTTTTTCGATAATGCAATAAAATTATTCAAAATCTGATTTTTAAAATTTTTAAATATATACTCAAAAACCATATTTTCAATTTCTTCAGATTTTTTGTTTTTCGAGAGTGTCATTTGGAAATATAAACATTTCTCTGTTTTATAACAAAATTATTCAACAGATATAGTTTTTTTAGAAACGTTGACATAACAAAATCAAAATTTGAATGAGTAACTTTTTGAATAATTTAACTTCCTGTATAATTAGGGTCTAAATAGATCAGTGATAATAAATTTCGAAGATATGAAGAATTTAATTACTAGAAAATTGTAGTAATGAATTTCCATTAACTTGTATGATTTTTAAAAACAACTCTAATATTATAAATACTAAATCCAATGTTAGGGCAATGTTTTTGGAAAAATCATTTCTAAAGAATATTATCTTTAGCGTAATTATTTTAATGACTGAAAAATTACTAGTACAAATTTTGAATAATTTTTCAACATTTAAAAAAATAAATATATTATCCACTGAATAATTTATATTAAAACAAAAGCTTTTACTACTGCGGAACACTACCTAAAAAATAACAAACGATTTCAATATTTTGAAAATAATACGTTCTTCAAGTCATATTGTTTGAAAATTCCTAATATCAGTATTTAAATACATTTATTTTTAAAAGAAAAAAATAGCAGCAAACGTGCTTGGTAAATCACACAGAGTACATAAAATATTTAAATGATTTCGGCGATGCCCTATTTTTTTTATTTTTTTTTCATAGAAAACAGTTTAAGAATCGGATTACACAGATACAGCTGGTCATCACAGTTAGAAATTGAAACAGAAAAGAAACCGATAAGATTTCCGACAAAATGCTCGCCCCCAATTTGTCATCGTCTGGTGTGATGTAATTTTAATATAATAATAATATTATGCATCGTGAACTTTGGTGCGTGGCGCGACAACACTATTATACGTATATATCGGCCCGTGGCGGATACGAATAATATACGCTCGTAATAATAATAATATTATTATTATTATTTTTCGTTTTGGGCGACGTGACTCGCGTTTGACCCGTCATCGTCGTACGCAAAGTACGTATATAATGTTTATGGTAAAACGGTCGCCCGCGTGTAGAAGATCAAAACACACACGCTCGGTACGATTACGATCACGCAGCGCACATTCCGATCTCGAACGTTATTATGATTAATGACATTCATACGTACATATTATTATATTGTGTTATATGTTAGATATATTGGAGAATACAGCCTGCTGCACGGAGGTGGTCAGATATTATTATTTCATTTTTTTTTTCTCAATCCACCGCCGCCGTAATATGATAATAATAATATGCAATATTGATTGTTGCGGGATGATGCCCCGGGCCGGTGGCTTGTCGTTTCGCAACGCACATAACTATTATACAGCAGTGGCGTGTAAAAATCGATTAGACGAATTATTATGATACCATCGAAAATAATTGACAACCTAACTACGCCTCTCGTCTCGAAACGAATCTTCAGCAGCGACGGGTTGCACAAGAATTTCAAGCTCGTTTTCGGATCCGCCGTCCATATAGTTTTTTATTTTAATCACTAATCATATTGTACAATAATAATTGTATCGATGATAATAAACCATTAATTCTTGTACAATTATGACTTTCGTTGCAAAATCTATTATTCTTGAATCTTGTTTAACCGGTCGGGCCCAACTTTCATAGCTATTGATTTGATATGGAAGAATTCTGAATTTATATGCGAAATAAAGGAGCCTAAAGTTTTTTTTCCACCACGCAACCAAGGGTTATTACACGTAGATCTCCATGAACAGGCTCTGCCTATATACTAAAATTATGCCATTGCGAGTCGAGTAAAGGGTGCATGATTGAGTGACCAATGCACGAACGCAGTTATATACAGTGAAACTTCCCCTAACAGAAACCTTCCAACAACAGATGTTTTTTTGAGAACGAGGACATTTTCAGTACTTTTCAATGGAGTGACCTCTGAGTATTGAACATTTATTTTAAACTTAATTTAAAAATAAAAACAAAATTATGACAGGAAAATATGCTTATATATTAGTATAACGATAACTACCTTGTTCAAAAACTGATTTTTTCACAAATAATTGAATTGCATTTATGCATATATTATGCCATTCTTTTTTCATATTTTTTCATATTTATCCAAATATATTTTATTAAATTATTATAACTATTATAACTATCATATTATCAAAGTATTAAATAATAATATTATAACCTAACGCATATTTTTTCCTCTTACGCATTTACCCTTTATAAATATCAAATACCTTCTTTGAATAGCAGATGAAATTTCAGTGATTGAGAGTGTCCGCTATTTAAAGGTTTCACTGTATTTTTATATTTTAATACATAGCTATAGTTTATATACGTAATGGGTCACGGAGATAGGACCTAAAATGGATGATTTTTTCTCAACATAAGATGAAAAAGAAAAGGTCTGAATGCACTCATTCGATCCATCAGAAAATGTTAATACTGTAGTACAAACGACAAGGTATGATCGTAACTTTTTGAAGATCAGATCCTTTGGTAGGCACGTGATATTTAGCGTAGCATATTATAATAATAACTAAATTAT